AGCTATCAAATACGGCGCATTTCTCGGCTTTTAACAAAATGCTATACGTCACCAGGTGTTTCATCAGATTCGAGGTGTTACCTCTTTTGGACAGTATCACCTTAAAGCACTTGTTGCAGGCTGCTGAGTTTGCATCTTTTGCTGTGAAGTACAGCCAGACTTTTGACCACTTCGCCTTGGACATTTTTAATCTGTAGCTCTGCTCTAAAAGAACGTAAGTACCTGGGCCCGCCTACTACGCTTGCAAAGGTAAAATGATTGGCTAGAATCCAAAGTGTATGACATCTCAGGGAAAAAATCACCGAAATAAAGCACCGAAATGTGTGCTGCTTTTCAGTCTGGTTACTACCGTTTGTGTCAGAACCGGTGCCATTATGGCACCGGATACCGGTACCCATCCCTAGGTGACCTATATGACCTATGATCTAAATAATGGTTATTATGAATTTCATATAGCTGAAATCTTCTTATTTCAGCTGGTCCCTTTAGCTAAGGACACAGCAGATTTTATCCCTAGCATCCTCCTATGTTACACTAAACCTCTATATTGCTTCCTTCACTGCATCTATAAACCTTCTCTGAAATCTTCCTCTTTCCTTCCTGCCTGGCAACTCCATCTTCAACATCTTTTGTCCAACATATCCACTATACCTCCTCTGCACATGCCCAAACCATCTCAGTTTTGCCCCTTTAGGCTTTTTCCAAACTGCTTAGCCTGAGCTATCCCTATATCCTATGATTTCTAATTCAATTCCAATAAAAGTCTTAGCATCTTCACCTCCACCTCTCCAGACCATACATCATAGAAGACCTCAATACCATCTTGTAAACCTTACCCTTCACCCTTCTTGCTATCCTTTTGTCACAAATCATCCTTGACAAAAACAAAAAAACAAATATATGCTTAAACTGCAGTCAATATCACATTCAGTAATCATCAGCAGTGGAGAGCAATTTGACCTTCAGGTTCATTTAAGAATGTATCTAGAACATTGGATCTTATTGAAATGCTACCAGAATGTCTGTAAAAGGAAAGCTACAAGAAGCTTAAAGAGATCAAGATGAAAATGTGATCTAAAGAGACCACACAGATCCTCCATCTGCCTCCTCTAAAGCTCTCTTTGAGGGCTTCTAAAGGAAAATAGATGCCTTTGAAGAAACAGGCCTCAAGCCTCAATGGGTTGTAAAAATATTTCCACTGTTGGGATTCTTGCCAGCAAGTGAAGCTGAGACAGGAGCGTGCCTGTGCAGAAGTGGTTCTTGTGCAGGCTGAAAGTAGGAGGGCTTATCAAAGTTTTCATACTGGTCTCTGGTCGCTTCCTGTCTCCGAAAGTGCTCATTGTCTCAAAGGGCAAGATTGAAATAGACATTATGAACAACACATTATGATATTTCTTCAAATGCTTGGTTCTGTTCACAATAACCAGCAAAAATGGGCTTCAGTTAGATTGGGATTCATTTTACCTCCTTATCAGGTTCATGAGCTAAACTTCCTCAGACTGCACTCCTGCTCTCATATCTGTAGATGGAGGCATCTATTTTTGGGCTCCATCAATCAATTGCATATGTTATCACAAAAGACTGTATTGTGTATCATGTCATATGTTGTTAACAGCCCTGTTAACAGTGACTAAAACCAAAACATGTAATCTAGAAAACAAGCAAACAAAATAGAAAAAGAAAACACTCATTTGTGTCCAGTGATATTAAGCCTTTGATTGTTGGGTCAGATTTTGGAAATCTTGGTCTACTTTTGTGGGGGGTTTTGTCCTTTTTAAAGAGTCAAATACTGTGCTGACTCACTTGAAATAACACTTTGTGAGCCAGGTCCTTCTGACCTTTTCATGTCAGTCTGCAAAGTGTACGCACAGAAAAGTAGCTCCCATTCACTTTGAGATGGCTTTTAATTTCCCACTTGCTTACATGTATTGCTAAAAGGTCATTTTTGTCTGTAGGCCATATTGATGTCAGTACTCACCTATGTTTATGTGATAATACACATTTATATCTTATGGAATCAGCTGATTACATTTAATATTATTAAGGGGGTGAGGATTTATATATTGTGTGTGTGTTTTTTAATCCCACGTTCAGTGTGTGTATGATTTTGGCACTGTATATGGCCTGTTTTCACATAGATAAAATACTGTCTGTCAGGAAGAGAAGGGGGGATCACTGGGCTTCCTGTCAACAAGAGGAAGCAGCCTGCACGTTTGGCTGTTAATGTCAGATGTTGGGGAACTTCATATCTGAACGCGCACGGAGAGAGAATTTACATCATGCATTGTAGTTAATTATGGAGAAGTCACAAACACTGATGGAGTATTTGAGAAAAGCTTCATTTCATTAAACCAAAAACAACCTCACAGACTGTTTGAAGGGCTCTGTAGAGTGAGAATGAAAAGCAGGGGGAGGACAGATCAGAGCCAGAAATATTACACATGAAGCAAGTCTGGTTTTGTTCTGGAAAAAATGTTTCTTTCAAGTTTTATGGGGAGGTTTGAAGCTCTTTATAATAAAAAGACTATAGAGCAGATGAAAAAAAATTATATACTGTATTTTCACCATATTTTCATCAATTTGAATTTATGTCCCTCAGGCTGATGAAATAGCTATTTGCTTCGTTCTCATCTTCTGAAGTTAGACTGTACACAACAGCTTAATTTGTACCACATACAACAATAGACACACAGCAGTAAACCTAAAAGCACACTTATAGCCAGTATTGAATCCTTAATAAAGTGGTTTTTGAGGTTCGACAACCTGATACTCAACTACAAGTCTCAACTGAATATGTGCAGCTGTGATAAACCACCAAGCAACACTTGGGAGGAATTTGTCATTTGCACTATTCTCAACATAACAGGAGGGCTGTCAGACAGTAATTCTAAACTCTAACCTCAAGATGACCTTTCCCAGCTTTTATAGTATATACACTATCCACTATAAGTGCATGCAGTTTAATTATAACCACTTCAGAAGTGCAGGTAAAAGTCTCTTAACAGTGTCCCCAGTCTGGCAGTTTAAGACAAAAACAATTACTTTCTGATCCACATTTCGTTTGGTTCCCTAGAAAGAACTGTTTTGTGGGGGCATTTTTGTTTTTATTGCGGAAGTTCCATGACAGAAAGATACTGCATTTGTGCTTGTGGGAAACCGTTTGTAATTGTTTCCAGCGGCCTGTTAGTTTCCAGCATTCTCGTTTATTTTTTCACTCCTGTTGTACTGTGAATAGTTGACGTCACCATGGTAGCTGATTGGCTTTTAGTTCCCCCCCAGAGTTGGGTGACAGACTTGCGAGAGAGGAAAGGAGGAGTGGGAATGAAAATAGACTGCATGCCTGCTTTGCATTGTGTATAAAGAGCAACTGCACACAAAAGCATAGGTACACTGAAAACACACGATCTACTTTACAGTCCAACAGTGATGTTGCATGTGCAAGGTCATAAAATAATCCTCTTTTCTTAGATGTGTTCAGGTTCTAGTTCTTGTTCTTTCCGTGGATAGTTTAGGATTGTACTAACAATTGATGCTAGTCACACGTTAACATAAGCTGACATGTCCACCCTTATGATGCACATCTTGCAAACGAAATGCAAGAAAGCATTTTAACTGCTCAAATAGAGTAGAAAAGTATTTAACTATTAGTCCATTTACAAAAGTGTGCTTTGTCTGAAAACTGGGACAAAGGACATCGACATCACGTCCAGTGAGACTTGGGTAAAAGTATGTCTCGAGTGTGTCTCCATAGCCTCAAACCTCATAAGTGGTGGGAGTTGTAAGGGCTAGTCAAAAAGTTCCCCTTGGCTGCTGAAGCAGAGATAATTGGACCCAGGTTCAGCCAGAGTTTTGGTATTCTCAGCTCGAGCCAACTTTTGATCTTCACAACTTCTCCTAGCAGACAGCGTCTGTATGTGAGCAGAGTCGACTGACTACGTGACATGTTTAGACTTAATTTCTGCACGTGAGGATTTCTGATCCATTTCCACCAAGTGATGTTTTTTTCCCTTAGATCTTGCATATGTGGATTATCATGTTTAGGGTACGCATATAGCGCCAAGTGATGAACAATAGGTCCAGTGGCAAATGCATTGTTTATGCTTACAAGGGTTTAATTAATCTGTCTCAATGTGCAAAGTCAAAGATTAATCCTATTGACCTTATAAATAACTTAATTTACAATCTGATCCCATGAGAAAGCGAGGGGTTTGAAGGCAGTGCCTTTTGTTTTTGGCCTCTGTTGTATTGTAGGCTGTAAAATTAAAATCAGATCAATCATTTCACTTTGGCCACTGCTCAATATAATGATATAATACCAGCAAAACTATTAAAATTCCAATTTGTTTTAGTTTATTGTCTTAAGTGCCAATTAACTCAACCTTAATGTGGCCATTTAAGGACATTTGGAAAGGTTGCCGATCAAATTGTGCAAATATACCTTGAATATCCTTAAGGCACGGTCCTTACAGTGGAAATAAGAAGAGTTCAAACAATGGATGTCTTTATACTTAGACTCAAAAACTTCAGGAAATTGAGAAAGAAAATAGTCCCTCAGATTTAAAATGTCAACAAAGTGAAGTACAATCTAGCAGTCTGTGGAGAAATTCCCATGTTGTTTCTCTTGCAACACATTTATATTCACACAGATTTTTTAGATTTATTTTTTACTTTTATAAAGATGCAAACACACAACATCACATGGATGAATGTAGATTCTACTGGTGCAGATCATAAACTGTGAAGTTTCAAAGATGTAACTTGAGAAAAGTGCCCTTCATCGTATATGAGGAAGAAGCTTCTTGACCTTAGTGTGGCCGGTTCTAGAGTGCTGATTGTTCTCAGCTGCTCTACCAATGAAAAATGCAGTCTCTCTGTCTTTGAGCATGCAGGACTCTTGTTATGGACTTAACCATTTTCTGCACATCCCTCACAGCAAGCAGTACTTTGTCTGTCATCTTTGTCCGTGTGAGTGTTGCTGTATGTAATATGTCTATCATCAGGTTGCAGGAAAGAAATTCAGCCTGTGGGATGACTTCCTCGTTGAGGGCAGAAGAAGTGGTCAGCAGGAAATGACCTTGGAGGATCTGTTCCAGTGTATCAGGGTATGGCCTTCTTATTTCTTTCAGCAAGGAAACACACTTTCTTCACAGCGGGTGCTGCTGCATGATTTTTTTTATTAACCTTTCCACCCCTCTACACAACGTCCATTATATATCCAGTATAACCTGACTTGCTATTTTACACTTACCCTCTCAGAGAAATAAAAATTACAGTGAATAAGCATTAGAGAATAAAAATCTTCTTGCTATTGAAATTTGTAGTGGGTTAAAGACTGGCTTTGATAAGTAAACAGGTAATTGCTCCTTTTATTACTAAAACAATACTTTTGAAAATAAGATCTACAAATTCATGCAGTGAACAGTTTAACTGAAAAGCTTGTCATAACTGTTGCATTTTCCTGTTTCTGCACTGTTTTTGCCACAGTTTTTGTACCTTTTAAGTCCTCTCAGCAGTTCAGATTAGAGCTGTGCTTTGGTTGAAGGCAACTTTGACACTGTTGTACTTTAACCACGGTCTGGGTTGTCCATCTTATCACCAGTAACAAAAGACAAGAGCAGCACATGATACTGAATTCAGTCCTCTACTGTGAGGAATGGCAAGCCGTTTAATTTCAGGATGTCACTTCCATCCCAGATAGAGTGGTACAGCTGACTGTTGACCTGAATGTCGTATCCTAGAATGCAGTGATGGAAAACCCATCCTTAACATCCCATTGTAACTCTTCCTGTTTTTAGTGCGATCTTTATTACTTTTCTACACTGTACATTTGATCTCTGAGTCACTGTCTTCATCATACGTATGAGATATGTTTGTTTCAACCAGAACATCCGAGCACAGCACACCCAGCCTATTTGTTAGGTGCTTGCAATCTTGCTCTGAACAGACATTTGGTTTATTGATGGTATTGAATTTATGTTTTCTGAGGAAGCAAAGGGAAAATAAATTGGCACGTCTTCTCAGTGCTCCAGTTGTTTCTTTTAACCTTTTAACCACTGGGTTTCCTTAGTTTGCTTGTGGAGTTTTCTGAACTGCTGCAGACTTACAGCTCTGCAGACTGGTGTCCTTGCAGAAGGACATCAGTCTTTGTTACTGCGTGCACTCTATCTGTGTTTACTGTCATGGCTAATGTGCTTATTATACTGTACTGCAGATTTAATCTTGACTATTTGTCTTTGTGCAGGAAAAGTGCAACTTGAATGTCTGCAGTCTTTTCTATGGGAATTCTGTCTTATTCAATGGACACAAAGAGAGGCTGAAGAAGAGGTATGTCTTAAAACACAGATACAGTACAAACTGCCCATCACTACCTTTACGTGACCTTTGCTGCACATATAAACAGTCACAATAAGCAACAGTCTCCTGTTTGTTTAGAGCCTAATGAGGTGTTTCCTCCTAGCCGGTGAGGAGAGAGCATGTTGACACACTAACACGCATCACTAAACACAGATGACTGAAACTCCTCCTCGGGTTTCCTTCTGTTTGTTGAGGAAAGACGTTAAAGAATAAAATGAGCGTGACATTCTTTTTCTGCGTTTTAGAAGAAGCTATGGTATTTGACCCATTCAATGCTGCAGCAAATTAAAGGCATGTTTCATTAGCTCCAGGGTGTTTGAAATAAATCAGATGACTCGTGCTGCAAACTCTCCTTATCAGTTAAATAAAGACCCTGCAGGATTTTTCGATTCCTTGAAGAGAGTAGGAGGGAAATGTAATAAATCACTTTTCACCTCCAAACTTTATAGGCAATGGCTCACTGGGTAAACTGAAACATTCGATTATTAGTCCCGTCTGCCAAAATAATATTGTGAGTACTGGAAGCTCAAGTCTCTGGGGAGCTGGTGTTGTTGTTATGATTAGGTTAACCCACAGGGAGAGAGAGGTGCAGACTGCGGGCCATGTGGACAGCAGACCATACAAGATAAATGTCCTCTGGAGTATTCACTTCCTGTGCAGTCACCCTGTCCAGAGCTTGGACCAGTGAAAAGGGAACATAAAACCTTGGACAATGCATTTGTTATTGGGGTTAATTTTCTTCTATCTGCTAGTTATTAGTTATGTTTAAGATTTTTCATGCAATGTAAAGCCATATGGAGATATATACTACAAAAGAGGTATTAGTAGGAGCACCTGATTAATAGTGAGAATATGCTGTTGTTCAACACAAACTTTGATTTCCACATTATTATTTAGAATAGCTTATGATTTATTTATTTTATTTTTTTGCAGGGTGTCTGATGTAGTGAAGGAGGTAACAAAGGAAGACATCCCTCCACATAAGAAGATGCTGGAATTAATCCCGTCATTTTCTGAAGACGAGGACTGCGAGTCAGTCCCAACGATCAGATACCTTTACTTGTGATACCATCGGCACAGTTTCAGTACATATGAGTTTCATGGATCTGCTGCTGTGTAACAAGGGGAATTCTCAGGATCTAACATTTAAAAATGAACAGATTTTATTACCCGAGCTTGATATTTGAATGATTTTCTTCTGCGTTTTTATTCCTCGTGTTTTTAAATTATTGAAATGGCATGATTTTTGTTAGACTGCATTCTTTGTTGTGTTAATGATCTATGTTTAAAAAACACTGATATATCGATTTATAAATCATTTTACCGAAAATGAGGAATCTTGGCAAACTGCACTCTTTTACCTAAAGTTTTGAGAAGTTGTGAAGTTGCAAAGACATACATGATAGATCTCGCACTACTGGGCCAGTGTTGGTAATTTGGCTTAAGTTAAGGTCATGCTGTGCACAGTGTTTGTGGATACGGAAGATATACTGCCATATGTTCAGAGTGGAGAAGCCAAAGTCATTTAGCAGGATTTCATCTGTCCTCAGCATGCTTCTGTACATTCCCCGCCCCTTTCTGCAGATTTCTGCAGTTTCACTCCACACCCTCACATTAACAGGCTGACATTATTAGCACGCTCTTGATGCTCTTGTCTGAATTTGATTTATATAAAGTGAATCAGCTCTGTAATTTTCTCTGCAACTACTTAATATATGTCTTCAACTTTACCTTGTAATTTGCATGATGATGCAATTTGCGATTACATTCAGTTGGAACAATAAAATGCCTCTTTGAGGAACAAGTTATTTCTGTGTATTTCATGAACAGACTTCAGTTCCCCATCATTTAAAATGTTCTTTCTCTGCTGGTATTGTGCATGCAGTACTGTGCAAGTCTCTTGAGCCACCTCGCATTTCTTTATATATATTGTTTCCGAGGAGCCAGATGTTCTTCAAATTTTCAAAGTTGCCTTGAGTAATAGTTCTTCAGGCTTTCTGAAGAGTTTTTAATTGGACATTGGATGCCTTTAACTCATTTTTAATTTTGTCCTTGACTGTTTTAATCCACATTACACTAATATATGACCTATTTCAGCATAAAAAGGCACCTAACTCAATGGATAAACTAGTGTAGTGCCTACATATAACTGACAACTTAGCAAAGAAACAATTTCAATTGTATCTTTAGACACTTTAGATACTAGCAGATTGTTGCAAACACAAAAAACATTTTGGTGTTTTTTGAATCTGTGAAACAATGCCAACAATCATTCATTTGACATTAATGAAATTTTGCCCCAGCAAGAAGATTCCTGAAGAGCGTCTTGATGCATTCTCAGTCATCCAGGTAAGTAACTCAAAAGTTGATTCTGTTCATCTGGACGTAGCGTTTTCAGTGGGAGAAACATTTCGTCACTCATCTAAGTCACTTGGATGAGTGACGAAATGTTTCTCCCACTGAAAACGCTACGTCCAGATGAACAGAATCACCTTTTGGAGATTCCTGAAGAGAAATTAGCTGAAATGTGGCATATCTCTGCAGGATGTGCAGTGTGGGCTTCAAAGGAAATTGGACAAGTGGAGGACAAAAGAAGAAGTGACAGACGTACGAAAACTATCTACAGCAGATGAACAACATCTGAAAGTCCAGCAATAACTTGACACAATACCTGAGACATGTCTGGCTCTTCAGTTGATCTACCTTCTGTTTGCTGTGAAGAAGCCTTCTTAAGAAAGAGAAACAGGCAGAAAATGCTAAGGTATGCTAAATTACACAAGAACTGGACTTATAGTTATTGGAAACAGGTTTAATGAACTGTCATGGTTTGAGACTGGATTTCAGAGAGTGGTCAAAAGTGATGGAATTATGAACCCAGAAATGGATCGTCAGAAGTTGATCCACCATGCAATACCATCTGAAAAGCATCCGATTGGCTATAGATTCTTTTTGTTTATTTTTTACCATGAGAGTGATGCCAAACACACTGCCAGTAAAAGCATACCTGGATAGAAACACACATAATCCAGCAGTCACGAACCTGCCTCTCCACAGTTGCCTTATATAATGTATTTCCATATGCACGTGTTTCAATAAACTGGATCTAGTTTAGGCTTTCCTAGGAAAACATAAAGAAATGAGAAGAGGATCAAGACTTTTGAACTACACTATGCAAGTTTTGATGCACACCACTCCCTTTTCTTAATCTGGTACAAACTCTGTGCCCTTTACACAGCTCCTAAACCTTGTTTTGTATTTGTTTTCTGTTTGTTTTTAACTAATTGGCGTGATACAATAATTATATCAACGCATTTCAGTCGTTTTATGTCTGCTAAAAGTTGACACAAAATACTGCTGTGATGATGAAGCTTTAGGATGATTAAAATTATTTGAATGCAAAACATTGATTGTTTTTTGCACATTTTTAATATTCTTGTAGCATTTAGCACTGCTCAGACAAACAGGGACAGACAAATTTGCATTAAATAATAATACTAATAATAAAAATAATAATAATCAGCTTTTATTCCAAAAATATAAACACTGAAAAAACAATAGTTCTTTTGAAACGGGTGTCTGTAGGTACAGTCTTCAGATGTAGCCAATGATGTCATTGCATATGATGGGCTGCCGGCTCCCTGTCTTCATGAGAGCGGTGAACTGGTAAAAATCGGTGTCCAGTGTATGTAGACCTGTGTGGGACTGGTGAAAGAAAGGTTTGAGTCCTTGGAGTCCCACGGGACAGGACATTCGTTTAGAAGCCTCTGCACTCCTGCAGCCCTTGGTGGAGTCTCCTGGCCTCTGCCTCATCTCCACACCTTTGGACACCCCTGCAAGTTTTCGGCGCATGTTAACCAGAATGTCTTTGGCAAGACGTCGGCCTGCATTTGGTTTTTGTTCTGCTGGCTCAGGAAGCTCCGGTAGGTCCATCCAATTCTTTATTAGGTCAGCAAAACTGTTGTCACCCAGAACCAAGGGCTGTCTGTTCCTGCTGCGGCTCAGCAGCATTGTCGTCCAGTCCTGTTGCTCACTGGCCTCGAATGATGTCCAGCGCTCCAGACAGGCGTCTGATGTTGATTTGGGTCGGATACGACCAGAAGGTCCTCTGTTTGTGCGGAGACAGGCAGAAGAAGAAACTCGTATGTTTCTGGTCCTCCTCAGCACCACGCCTTCATCAGGCCAAGAAGCTTCAGAGTAACCTGAGTCAAAGTCCACACTCTTCTCACTGCTGGGAGAGCCCTGTTTCAGCCTTTCATGCTCCTGTTGCTCTTCCTCCTCTTCCAGTGGGCTGGCCAGGCAGCAGGCAGAGTCATAGGTGCTGGCTTCACTGGCATCAGAAGCACGCAGTCGAGTGAGTCGCTCTTGCTGTGCCCTCTGTTTGTATAACCGAGTGACAGCGAAAGACTGAACACATGGTTCGCTAAGTGGCCTCGGCCTGCTTATCTGCTTCAAATCCTGCAGGGATCTCCTCATGTACTGCATGTGGTCCCGGAGGCAGTCAGAAGAATCTCCTAAACACAGCTGCACAACAGGAGAGGCAGACAAACAGTTAGTGGTGCAAGGAGATTTTAAATAAAGTCTATTCAAAATTGACATGTCCACCAAAACTACTTAAGTAAAGACAAGCTATGTTCATTCGTTGCAACAGCCAAGAGAGCTCCTAGGCCGCCTTCCAACATATCCCATCATCCCCTGGCCATTCTAGCTATATCTTGAACAGTTCAGTGTGTTATTTCCAGGACTCGGCCAGTAAGATTTTTACCAGCTGAGATCACTGTGCTCTCTGGCCTTATAAGAACTCAAGCATTCCTGAAAAACCTCAGCTTTATGGAGACCATCCCATGCAATATAAGTCCAGAAAATGAATTAAAAGCACAGGATGCACATTTCATACTGGGGAAAACTCTCCCTGCCTCCTAAATTTAGAGCGGAAGTTGAACAAAGTAGAGCTTAGTCTGGAGTGGAGTGTGAAGGCTCACATATCCTCTCTGGATTCCCCTAGTTCACAGGATGTGGACTGGCATGTATTATAAAACAGGAAGTGACAGCAACATTTTGGAATTGCACAAAGATCATGTGCTCAGTGTTAATTAAACCATCTTCGAGTAGGCAGTATAATTATATTGATGAAAAAAATCCTTTAAATTTTAATCTGCACTTTGATCATTACAAAAATGAAGAAAAAACTACAATTTACTAAGAGTTTCTGGGTCAGGGAGTTGCAAAAATGCCTCCAGTCTAATCCGTAATGCTATTGTTTAGTTTTCAGGTTCTTACAATATTTGGCTTGCTGAGCTTCTAACTCCTGTCACTGTTTGTCTTGGAGTACTAAAGGTGCCACAATGCCATGATGTTATCACAGCTGTGGGTGCTGAACCATTTGGCCTCTGGGGGAGACTTCATCTGACATGCAGAGACATCCACTGTGAGATTCTGTGGTCAGTCTGCCACTTTTAAAATGCCCTGTTCTTCTTGGCTGCTTTCACACAATGGGCTAGAAGTGATTCACCCAGCTGTGTGCTTTTGGCAAAGGCAATTCTGGTTTGAATTAACAGTGACTTGGTGGATTAAAGCACTATAAAGAGAAGTTGGTCAAGAAATAAAATAAAAACAAAACAGAAAATAAATGCCAAAAAACTAGGATAAGCCAGTGTCTTAAGAAAGCTTCACATAGTGGGTTTACCAAGGGGTTTGGGGCATTTGTACTCTTAATGAAACTAATGCAGCACCTAAAACACAAGTAAACTAAAGAAAAAATAAACTTACCATTGCTTCTGAGAAAGTGAAGTTCAAAGCCTGTGTTTTTTTTCTGCAAAAGAAAAGAGAGTAGTGGATTAAGTTTTGAGCGTGTGGCAACTACCACCCTTCCTAAAAACACAGCGGTTTGCCAATACTCACCTCTGTATGTGGCTCCAAATGAATCGCAGCACAATCAACAACAACTCCTCAGACGAACAGCTGATCGGAGGTTTGTTCGCTCTTTGTGGGTCCTCTCTCCTCTGAACCAAATGAAGCTCCGTCAGCGGACTTTGTCGATGCTGAGCTTTTTGTCGCAGCGAATCAGCACAGTCCATTAAAAAACCAGCCAATAGTGAGTCGCCTGAAATAAGATGCCCCCTGGAGTCATTTCAGTAGTTCCTGCTGTGCGTTTCACACCACACTGTTGGGACCCCACATCTGGAGCCCTTTAAATTAGACACCTGAGAATACTCAAGTCGTCCAATTGCTATTTTGAATTTTTTGAGCACTATACATTTCCAGCAGAGTTATTATAGTTTTTATAATCTGATTTTGACTGGGTTTTTTTTTATCCGTTTAGTTTCCAGAGTAGTGCTGCTCGTTTCGGTTTAGTTGTTATTGTTTGGAAATGTTTTTGCTATTTTCAGTGTTAATATTAGTCTTTTATTGTATGGAGGAAATATGCCAGAGACAAGATTTAGGAAGATTAGTATTAGCAACAGAAAATAACTCTGAGTTTTCAGACAAGTTAGAATAAACATGCCCGTTAAATACTCATGAGCTAAGTTATGATACAGTTTATTAGATTACCAAATACTAAAACTAAGGACATTACCTCTATATCCCCCCCCCCCCCAATTTTACAAATAATTTCAGTTAGTTTAAACCTTTACTAAAAGTCTATTTTTTTATTTTAGTTAAATAAAATGTTTTTTTTCCACGTGCAGTTTTAGTTATTAATTTAGTTATAATATATATAATAAAAAAATAATGAAAAAATTGTGATTTCAGTTGATAAACCAGCATTTAAAATACATTTTTTAATTCTCTCCAGAATCGTGCAGGCTACTATAGGCAGCTGCTGCAGAGCCGTTCAGGAAAACCGCTGTGCCTAAAGTCCCAGGTATGTATTGATAGAAATAAATCTACATGTCGCCACCTTGTGGATCTTTTCCACAAAGCTTCTTCAGCAATGCGTATTCACTATTCTATTCTAATGGTCCTTTTGAAACGCAAAATACCTTCTGGCATGACTACCGCGCGTCATTATCTCACCTCTTTATATGCTGACAGCACTCTGTATTGTAATTCAGCAAAGTTTAGGTTGCAGTCGCACTCATTTCTTTGCTTTAAGTACCTATTACATGCTCAGTTGCAAGAACTAACGTGTAAAGGATGTATTAAAATAAAAGAAAACAAGTTTGGCTTATAGCTGCAGTTTGTCCGAATGGTATTTACATAGTCTTGTTTTACCAAAATACTTTTTAGTTTAGTTGTATGATTGTCCTTTTCTTCTCAGTTTTTTGTTGGTGTCTTTTTAATCAGCAAAGTGCTTATTCTATATTTTAAAGTTGCTCAATTCATTGTCTTTAGTGTCCTTCTGCTAGTGAACTGGTTAAAAAAATGAAGAAACAAAATAAAGTATTCTGAATTTTCCCTTAACACATCACACAGCAGAATAAAAGATCATGTGACCAAACCTTTATTTACGTTTAACAAGTGAATGACTTTTAATGTTAACAAACAACTATCATCCATTTGTCTCGGTATTGTGGTGCATCCTAAATGACAGATTTTGTGAACTGAAGTGGAGTAGAAATAGCCCTAGTTCACACTATGAAGATAGCATGTCTCTAAAGAACAAGTGTAAACAGATATCAAGGCACAAACATATGTAAAAAGACTTGGATTGAAATAAAAAGTACAGAACGATCCATGTTAGGAACAGACATAACCACTTAAAAATCTTGCAGATATCTTAAAAGTGACACATAACCATTTATGTTTTGTTTCTTTTAAGAAGTTACTTAAGGAATGTTAATCAGTTTGTGGGGAATACAAGCTAATCTATGGACAAGTCATGCAGAACAATGCACTATAGTACAAGAGTGAATATTGATTCTGTGTAAACATTGTACAAAAAACATTTTCCCTTCATCCATTTTCATTCTCCATGCTTGTTGGTTTTCTTCTAAAAAATAAGTTCTGTTTACAGTCAAAAGGTTCATAAAATGCCAGTTAACATAAGTTAATAGAATTTTTATAAAAAAAGGTTTATTTGACTTTATCCTCTTATTAAAATGCAAAAGTAAAAGGCAAAGTAAAATGTAAACCTAAAAGGAAAACACAATAAGAGATCCAAATATAAAAGAACGCTCAATAAGTCAAATAAATACCAAGAGGTTCCCCAACTGGTCCACGAAAATGGAAAACATGTTTTTTGTTTGTTTTTTTTCCCCAGTGTTTTGATTTAGTCGTTTGGTATAATGAGATTGCAGGTCTTAATTGTGTCAAACTTTACTCTTACAACAATCATTTATTGAAGGCCAGTTGGCCAACATACAGTTACACAGTTTCCAAATGCAATTAAAAAAGCAGATCTTTTCATGTAAGTGCCTTAATTGTTATTTGATTGCTTTTGTCAAATTAGAAAGTTCTCGGTCATATATGTGTACAAGTAACCCCTGATAAGGAGCAGTAAGCTATACAGTATATAAAAACAATAACAACAGATCAGACAGATAACGTGATGGTTGCAAAACAGTGATTGTTAAAGTTCTTTCAGGTTCCCCCTCTAGGAATCAGTTCTCTTATGGTTTTCATTATGAAAAGCAGTAATCATTCATGGCTATTGCAGTCACTCATGCAGTCTGTGTGCGTCGGGTTTTGTCCTGCATGAAAAGACAAACAAGTATACATTCTTTAGACAAGTAAATGTACATAAAATAAAATGAAGAAAAAGAAGCTCTTGTTTCACGTTTGACTTTCTGATTTCTAGTGTTGATTGCAAATTTAATTTTTAGTGAAAAAATTGCACAGATCTTGAGAAGTTAAAAAAATGCATTGTAAAAAGTAATTTCACTCAATTTAAATCACATTCAAATAAGTCACTATACAAATTCATGCTGAAAAACTCAAAGTTCCCAAGTTCTGTCTTCCCTTTAATTTTCTTTTCAGCAGACATGAAATTAATTTTGTATCACAGCAATGACATTTGTCTTACTCTGGATAATCCACTGTTTACTATTGCCGAACAACAAGGCAACCCACTTGATGCGCTCAAGCTAAATGATTTTTGCCAGCTTTTCTTACACATTACTTAAGCGATGAAGCATTAAATTAAAATGTTGCCAATTTATTTCTTCACAGTGATAAATTATTACAGCTCTAGACTGAATATTAAGTTGTGCCAGTACAGACAATACATAGCTGATGAGATCATTAATAGGCCACCTAAATGACAACCCAAATGAAAATACAATGAATAACAGCCCATTCGGCTTTACGGTAACATTTCTACCCACTCTGAAGCATACCTTTAGAAAAGACCACAGTCTTTTAGGTTGTTCTTAATAATAACGTCAGTGACAGCATCGAAGACAAACTGCACGTTCTTGGTGTCAGTGGCACAGGTGAAGTGGGTGTAGATCTCCTTGGTGTCCTTTTTCTTGTTCAGGTCCTCAAACTTGGTCTGGATATAGCTGGCAGCCTCATCAAACTTGTTGGCGCCTGTAAAATATGATTTAGGAGACAAGGAAGCAGTTTATTATCAAGTTGAACTTTCTGCAGAGAATGATCACAGATGCAGTATCACTCCTGATGCTCCGCTGTGTACCTCCGTACTCGGGGAAGCAGATGGTAAGAGGGCTGCGGGTAATCTTCTCCTCAAAAAGATCCTTCTTGTTGAGGAAGAGGATGATGGAGGTTTCGGTGAACCATTTGTTGTTGCAGATGGAGTCAAAAAGCTTCATGCTCTCATGCATTCGGTTCTAAAGAGAATCAAAACTGGTCATGGCTCATGACTTTCACTACAGTGTAACAGTTCATCAGCGCTGCCACCAGGGGACAATGTTCTTCTATATTATAAAAGTGAGGACAAATATTGCAGGTACTTCACAGCATCTCTTGGCCAAATGTCTCCTGAGCACTTTCTTTAAGCAATTCAAGAAATTGGGGTTAAATAGTTCATGTGCTATAACTTGAACAAATAGCTATTACGTCTTTTATTGCATAATTACACTTCACAGTGAAGCTCAATGAGCTAATTTTACAACATGGAGCTGACTATCATTCAGCCATTATAAGGAGGGATGGGAAATGGTACATTCCTTGCAGTGCAATATAATGTAATGTATCACATACTGAAAATGAGCCTGAAAGCAGATTTATGAAGCTAGTAAAGTGATATCATCCATACAGAAAGAGGCTCACATACAAGTACACATACACACAAGCATAAGAGGGTGGACTTTTCCTTACCATCTCCTCGTCCTCTGCCAGCACCAGGTCATAAGCACTCAGTGCAACACAAAAGATAATGGCTGTTACTCCTTCAAAACAATGAATCCACTTCTTTCTCTCTGAGCGCTGGCCTCCCACATCAAACATTCTGCCAGAGAGATCAAACAAAGGAGGTAAATTGTGTGTTTGTGTGTCTATATTTGGGGAAGGAGGTCATAATAAAAAAAAAGGAGTAATGTGAACCTAACAGGGGAAAAAACTGCTATTTCAGGAAAAGTGCTGTGAATGAAGGAAGGGCAAACTTAGAGTGACATTCAATGTCAGGAAATAAATTGGCTTTCATGTAGTTGTTTGGGGACCAAAAATGGTGAGGAGGTGGAGAGACGTCTGTCACATAATTTATCTGATAAAAGACTGCAGGGTCAGTGCAGGATAGAAGAGGCAGACAGGGTCCATATTCAGAGTAAAGCTTCAGTTAATGGAGATGCTGAGACTTGATTAAAACTCGCAGAAGAGAGGTGTGAGAAAAGCCTACGGAAAGATGAAAACAGTTCACCAGGACAACTACTGTATACATATATAATACTGGAACCCAAAATGAAGTTTCGACCAGACACAACGTGATCTAAAGCCAGCCACTGTCAATGGTGACAGCATCGGCTTCATTAAGGTGAATAGAGCAGAAACAGCACAAATGTGGCTTTTTTTGTATTGATCGCCTTCATGCATTATTTAGCTCAAATACTGAGGCTGTAACACAAAGCAAATATCAGAGATTATCAGAAAGCAGGTCACACCAAAGCCAAGTGGATACAGTTGCCTTTTTATTACCCATAACCTCTTAATATGTATTGAAAAGTGCATTAAAATGTGTTGAGACCCAAAAAGA